AAGACACATTCTTTTCAGCGCGCTAGAAAAGATCTGCGCACAAATGAATGATTGATTCATTTGCAAAACGTTCCGGCGTTGATGTTTAAAAGCAAGACAAGACATCGATTAATTTATGATGATTCAATGAGGTTGTTCCAATGGCCACGGCTAATACATGCATCGTGCATTGAATCATTCGTCTGCACGCTTCCACTTTCCTACACGAAACAGAACTATACTCAAAATGTTGGATCTGACGATCCGCTGTTTCAGCTACAGGTTTGATTGACGAAGCCATCAAGTACGAAAAAGCCAGCCACTGCTCATTGACCATAATTCATTTCTACATATAGACACGATCGCGCGCAGTGTCAACTCACTGTGGTTAGCTACTTCATTAATGCCAGGTACAGCCGCTAACGATGCATGACGACCCGACCAATTACGGTGGCGTACATGTGTCTATATAATCAGCACTAGCATCAGGCCGCGTGTTGTGTCAAATATAAACGATACAAGCGTCATAGATGCCAGCACAGCAATTTCTTAGTGCAGTTTATGCCATTACTGTCTACGAGTGAGGATGTGCTGTCGTGCGTAGATTTGTGTCGATGCTAAGGCTTTCCTGGTCTTATCTGAAGATGACGGTTGTTTGCGTTTGGGCGATGAGTGGGTCGCCGCCGCTGCTCATAGGCCGCTCTTCTCCCTGGCAGCTACCGTGCGATGCCGAATGTTTGGTCACAATCCGTAGTAACTTGTCAGCAATAACTGAAGCAGTAACGAGTCGTTCTTAATATTTCATTGAGTCGCTCGTTCGTCGTGCTGGGTCATTTCCTTGGGTCTGCTCATAATCAAGTAGGATGTCACGTGTCGCTGCTTGTGTTGCCGACGACGACGATGGAATCTCCTCGCATTCAATCGGCGCGCTAAACAGAACTAATCGGGACTGCTATTGATGAAAAGAGCGAAGCGAAAAACGCCAACGTTCTCGGACGACGGCCGGGTCAAGCTGCATCGATGTTCATAACCGTCCAACGTAACAATGACGGGAAAAGTGCCGGTTTTGAACGACATGCCAAGCCATTGTGTTTGATCACTGTATATTTACGCGTAACCAAGCACAAAAACAACGACAATATCCATAGTAATAGCACTACTATCATATTACATTTACGTATGATTGTCCTTCCTCATCAGAGCTGGTGGATATAAGAGTTCGGTGCTGATCGTTCGGTTTCTAGTGACTAGACAAGAGTGTCAATCAGCTCTAATTCAATTACGCCGATAGATGTTGAGATAAGCAGGTAGATGAAGCGCTGAGGAAACATCTCTTCAGGATCGTCACCTGGTCCTTTACAGTTGTCAACGTTAGACTCCTACCATTTGGCCCGTATTATTTTTACGTATTTCTCGTTCTATGGTCCTTACACTTGAAGGCGTAGATCCGTAAGCTATGCGACAATGGCAATCGAAAGTTTTAAAAAAGGTTAGATGCGCATGCTGTATTCGCGTATTAACTCAAAAACTCTGCTTTATGTCGCGAGCTGATACTCCGACCAGACTGTAACTGATTGGCCCACTTGACAGCACAAGATTAGTAGTGTATAGGCCAATATGAAGCTACAGGTATGCTGCGTCGGTTACATAGTTGTAATGGTGGTAGGCGTAATGGCAGAGGCACTACGAGACGGAGGATAAAAACAAAGCGGAAAATGATAAGAATGGCCACAGCCAATGTTCCACGCCGATGGGCGCTTTTGGCGCTGGTGTTGGCAGGGGGTGGCATTCGGTGGTTGTCCGCTGTCGTTAGTTTGGTGAGTCAGGTGAGCTGTTGGGTAAGCGGTCCGTCCATCCATCGCTCGGCCGCTGGGCTGACCGACCGCCTGATCTGTTGAGTGGCCGTTCGCCAACAAGAAGGACGACGGCGACGTCGACGACACTCGATCTGTTGGTCCGACGCGGCGGCGATAGCTACCGTCGCCGTTGTCGGAACACGCGACGTCAGCAGAGAGACACAATAGTAATAGCAGGACGCGCTTAGCAGAGTCAGCACTCAACTGCCTACCGGCCGCCGCACAGCCATTCTCATTCGGTCCACACCCCTCCTGCCTCCGCCATCTCAGAGCAACACAAGCGGCAGCACCAACAGCAGCCTCAGCAGTAGGAAAAAGAAAAGTTCAGCGCCGGACTCTGTGTGCGCCCCAAATCTTTCTATGACCTTTTCTAGTCTTTCCTTAGTCTGCCTTCTGTCGCTGAAATGCTCACTAAGCTTCTTCCCAACTGCCACTATCAGAACGATGGTCTGGCTTTATCCCTCTCGTTTTTTTCTCTCAATTTCCCAGGGTCATGAACCATAGCTGAGTCGACCGGCCCTCGCAGGGGCTAAAGGAGACTTGCTAGCCAAGCACGCTTCGCTTACAACAAATGAACCTGCAGCGTCATCATGAACTGACTGTCTAAGTCCACCGATACAATAGCAGTGGCGACGACTTGCCGACACCGCCGTGCCCGTGGCTGCTGCCATCAGCACCCTATCCTCCAACCACAGCCGCCGCTCCCACCTCGACGACCATTAACGGCCCTACTGCAGTTCGATCGATACACTTGATCTGTACTTCACTATGTTTCCCTTCAATCACTCCCTCCATTCCTTTCTGCGTTTTACTGTCCCCGCTCCCCTCTCTGTATACGTCTCTCCCTTTCTCCGTAAAGTTTAAACTCGTTTTCTCGGCTTCTCCCCCAAAATGAGTTCTCCTATGCCCAATGCACGAGCTATACAATAATATATAATCATACATATAACAAAACGTCATTTGCATCACCATTATCGCAGTTCTTTTTGAGTCGGTTCGTCAACTGCACGGTTTGATAGTTTACCAATGACTAAATGTAGAAAAATAGTATCAGTATTAATATGAAGCAATGACTCCGTTGTCGCCCTTTCAATGGCGGCATGTAGCAGTGTCAATGCCCACGACTGGCCTACAACTGGCGGACTGCGCGTGAATGCCAACCCAGCCATTCGATATAGACAAGCACCGTCAATGTACACATATAAATACGTACATACTGCGAGTCGACAAAGGTAAAGAGAATACGATTAGAACTATTCAGCTGTATGATCATAGGCCAGCCCTTTAACCTTAATCTCGTCAGCATAGATGCTGCTGCTGGTTCGGTACGCGCGCCCCACAAGAACAAGCCGCGAGAAAACTGGCTCACGTCTCCTCGGTGAGCCTCAATGGGCCATGTCCAATAGCATAGGCCTTTTGTCTGTCGACTCGTCGGATACTGCATGCCGACAGCTCCGGATAACGCGTCATGAAAAGAGCATGTTTCATGCGGCAGCAGTGCGTACCGTAGCCACATTGCGAAAGGTCGCAACGCCTCTGCACGGCCGTTAGGATTCGACAGTAGTAGAATTCTGTTAGGAAATAGAGCTGAGTGAGGGATGGCGGGATCGGTTGGGCTGAGCGGCGTTGGGCTATGCACTCTCCATAAAAGGATGGTATGGCCGATGAAGTATAAAAGGGAGTCTGGCCCTAACTGAAGGGAAGTCACTAAGAGTGGCGGTGACAATGAAAGAAGAAGAGGCCTAAGCCTACTTTCGCCGCGCCTTGACAAAATAAGTTGCACATTGCCACTCTTCTCTTTTCCTTTCGCCCCTCTACGTACAGCACTTAGCAACCTTTTCACTATATTTTATTTTTCAATACCCTAATCACCAGGTGCTGTTGCTCGTGTGCTTTGGCGTCACTCATTTTCAAAATTCGATATTACCCTGTTTTGCTGTGAGCACGGCTGCCGTTCGCTCCCTGTTTTTTTTTGTGCCTCCCTCCGTTGTAGACCTCTCGAAGGCTTCGAGAGTCCACATTCCATTGGACACTTCAACTCATCGTCTGGCTTAGTATGGCTTGGTGCCATCGGTGCGGCTTACGATGTTAATCGCTCGCTCCAGGCCTGAGCTCATGACACAGAGGCAAACAGGCGGCCCGTACACACACATGCACACTCACAGAGGGCCCAGGAGCACAAACGAACGCCATGTACTCACCCAGGCTACACATACTCCGGCCCTTTCCCACCCAATACTCAAAACACTCCCCCCAGTAGTCCCCTAGGGGACGTGACGTCAGGATCACGTGCATCTTTTTAAGGTAACGCCTGCGTTAGGTGAGGGGCCCGAAGCTAGAGGGAGGTGACTAACGAAACAGCAGGAGGGGTCAAAGGGAAAGAGTTTCCCTGGACGGGCGACCAGGCAGGAACGAGTATGTGTGTATATACAACAATACTGTACTACAGGTACCTCTTCTCCGTCTTCTACAACAACAACAGAATATCTTTGTCATCCTTCGCAACTGTCCTCCTCACCATCGCCGTCGTCATCGTCGCTGGCCTCCTCTTTTGGACCTTCCCCGATCTTACTACTCGCTTTGATGGCTATCGCAACGAACCGTGCCGTGACTAAGGTACGAACGTTTACCGTCCGTTTACTGCTTTGTCTCCTTGCTCTCCTCACGCACGACACGCCAAAAAAAATAAATGTTAGGGAAATAGGCAGGCAGGCAGGCAGCTATTCCAAGGTTCATGACTAGGACGCGCATCAACACTAACACACTGACTGCTATCAGTCAGACAGGTAACGCTGACTATTACCAGCAGCGACACACTGGCCGGTCTTTCATTCGTTCCTCAATCGGTCTGTCTATTTGCGTCGCTCTGATTGAGTAAAGTGCGTGAAGGAGGTAAATGAACAATGCTGGGGACAGGAGCAGCCGCGCACACGGTGACGATGGCTACACCGCTCGCGTTACCAGCATTTGTATGAGCGCCGGATAAAGAGGACTTTGAACGATGACGCTTACGAGTACAATAATACATATACAGAACTATTTCATGTTTTGATACATATGTACATATGCATGCGTATGTAGGTATATGCGTGTGCATGTGTGTGCGCGTATGTTGCTTGACGAATAAACATTTTGCTACTAAACAGAACGTAAGGTTGTACTCACCGGCCTTAATGCTGGTCGCCGCATCAAACGAATATACGCGTCCGACCATGTGGTCCTTCTTGTAGTTGCGTAGCTCGAATGGGGCGGCCATCACAGCCGCGGGCATCGACTCACCGCGGGTCAGTGGAGGCCGCGTTAATTCTGGCGGCGCGATGTGTGAGGGGTCAAGGTGTACGCGCTTGTCCAGTTCGGGCTCCTCCTCAGTACCCCGCTCTCGCTTTAGGGCCCTCTGATTAGATAAATGTCTTCGGGGTTCTTCAGCACTTAGCTGGGCGTGCGTCGGTGCGTGCCGATATGACGCCTCTATTCGAGTATAGCGGTCTCTCGGTGCTAGCGCCAACGGAGCTAGAGTTGCAGCTGAATCGCCATTGAGCTCATGGCGTTTGAAATGTGGCTGGGCCACCGAGCTGGCAGATGGTCCCGGTGGCGAGAAGCCATGTGCGCGTTTAAGTTGTCGTGCGCTTTCGAGAACGATTTCGATGCGGTCAGCCCCTTCATAGTTTACACAGCCTCGACAGACCGGCTCCGAGAAGTCGTCGATCATCGCCCACGGCATGCGAGGCAGGTCACATAGGTAGCATTGTTGGCGTTGCGCGCCACGAGTCGAAAGCCCGGCCGGTGTCGACATCTTCACCATAGCTTCCGCGCGCTCTCCGTTAAGGTCCAGGTTTGTCGTGTTCAGTTGTAGAGAACCGATTGAGCCTCCGGGGGCCAGTAATGGCCCACTACCACTGGCGCCGTTAGGTTCGAATACTCCACCGCCGCCAGCGCCGCTTGCGAGAACCGCTGCCTCAGCCGCCTCGGCAGCCTCTATCAGTAGCTGCTTCGGCTTGAGAAATTGCAGTTGCGCGCCAGTGTGCCGGACACCTGACAGCATGCTAACCTACGAACCGGCCCGAAGCTGGGGACCGGTGCGCACTTTCATGCCGGCCCTCAGTGGCCTGAAGATCAACACTGCTGCAGCTGTACTGTTGCGTGTGGCACACTCCAGGCAGAACCTAGACACACTATCCAATTCGCACTCACAATCGAATACGTTTTCCCCGGCAACTTTTCAGCTGAAATGCGATCGCCGACTTGGCCCTCGGCTGTTCGTGACCTGTTTTGCGGAACTAATAATTAGCGTCCTACGTCGTATAGGCCAACTACGATGTGTTTGATGCCACTGTTGTTGTTATGGTTTCAACGATGATGGGTCTTTCATGATATTGACGTTGTTGTACTAGTCATTTTCCTTTGTATTGTTGTAGCTGATGTCATTATTATTATTGATGTTGTTACTATTGGTCTCGTTTGTCCGCAGGCAGACCCCACGGCGCGCTAGTTGCGCGGCTGCTCGACGCCTCCGTTACTAGACCGCTTCGGTCAGCGTCGGTCAGCAGCCAGTTAACCCGTCGGTCGCTCAATGAACGACCAACTGCTGTTGTTATTGATGCTGTTACTGTTCAACGACCAAGGACCAGCCTTTGCCGTCGGCTGCCGGTATTCGTTTGTCTGCCTGTTTCTCCTCTGACTGACGACTGGATGTCGATATAGACGACGCTGCTGCTGCTACTGCTATTGGGGCTGTTAGTGGCGACGACCGCGGAGCAGCACTGGAGACGACCCGCAACAACTGACGACGGCCGCTACTACTGCTGGCGTCAACCGCAGTCGATCGCTAGTCAGTCAGTCAGTTAAGAAAGCAAGTCACGAGCGAGTAAACTACTAACTCATGATAGCCCAACCGACAGATAGGCAGACGGTTTACGAAGGCGCGATCCCCGGCAAGCACCGTCGGTTCAACGCGGCACAAGCGGCGTCGATTGAAATGGCGAACGAAGTAAGCACGATGACGACGGCACACGGCGCAGTGATTGTGGCATAGACAACACCGGTGACGACGACGAGGAGGGCGCTTGGACGCTTCGTTCGTTCGTTCGTTCGTTCGTTCGTCCGTCCGTTCGCTCGTTCTTGACTAGTTGCTCGTAGTAGACACTACGGCAGCATTACAGCCAATATTATTACTGCTGCGGCAGCCGATCGCTAGTTGATGCTCCTATTCGTGCTGCTGTTTGCTCGCAGACGCGATAGCTAACAAACAGTGACCGCTGTAGTCGGCGACGATGGCGCCGGCGGGCGCTTGCACATCGATGGACAGGAGTCAGTAGTGGCAGGAGGCAATGAACGGTGGAGGGGCATGACACACGCTAGACACTGCTTGCTTCCGCTGTTACCAATACTCGCACTATTCTTGGGACATCGATGCTAGCGAATCTCGGTTTGACTGACCATTCAGTAAAAAATAAACAAAGAAATCAGATATATTGGCGACTAGGCACTGGTCTTCATAAAATCTTCCTGGGATTGCGCCGATATGGTAAAATCAATTCCTGTTCCGTTTTCTACTGCCTTACAACGCTGCGATGAGTCGCCTGAGCCACTTTGTTATCGTTGTTAAAATATCCACCTTTCGTAGTATGTTGCAATGATTTTCGTTATTATTATTCTTAGTAATATCTGCAATTGCCACTCCCTGGAATACTGTATACACAGAGACCGTACACGGGATTGTGTTCTTGTTTTACCCGGCGCTGCTGTTGCTGCTTCCTTGTAGCATGGCACAGACAGCTGGACAAATAGGCCGACAGAGAAAAAAGACACGCGGCTTGCGTGGAGTGCTCACACCTGCTCTGACAAAACCGACGTGACCGGCGCTCACACTACTACAACAACTGAGAGAGTAGTACTATTACTGTTAATACGGCTGATGACGCTGATGTTGGTGCTGTGTTCATTGGTATTATGCTGCGGGCCGGTAAATGCCGCGACTATTACCGGCGGCGGCGGCGGCGGCGGCGGCGGCGGCGGCGGCGGCGGCGGCGGCGGCGATGCTGATATCGCACTCGTTACATGTAAAGAGGGAAGTCACTTTCGCTGCTGATGCTGCTGCACAGCAAAAGTTGCACTTGAAGTCGATACCGTCGACACAACTAAAGACAAAAAGAATATTAATAACACGAAGAAACGAATTTCCTTCAAGACTGCACAAGTGAAAAGCACACACTGAAGATACGGCGCAGTGGTCCCAATGCGGATGACAACGCCATTTAAATGAAACTGCACTGGTTCGTTGCGTACGATTTCTATCTTTTTCTTTCTTTTGTCAACGATCGCCAATAAATCAAGGAACGACGATGGCGGGCATAAGTTGCTCGTTATTGTTTCGTTGCAATTATTTCCGACCGTTGGATTCGTAAGAATACTGAGCAGAGGACGAAGGTTAGCAGTGATCTTTTTCCATCCGTTCTTACGATGTTGCCGAGAACGATTGAAGGTATCGTGGCCTGACGACGCTGATTGCTGATTGACTATACTGTTTTTTTGCGAAGAAATAAAGATTCAGCTTATTTGCGCGCACACAGTGTCGTTTGCTGCTGTTCTTCCAGTTGCAGAACGAGTGCTATCTGTACCGCTTCCTCCTCCTGGACGTCGATATCGACTACGATTACTGTGACACTCGGAGTTGATTGCTTGCCAATGTTATGCTAACACTCACTTACTCTCGAGTTAAATAGTACTCCCGTGGGGAATAAGGGGAGGGTTTCCTTTACCCCCGTTTTTTTGACATTTCGTCTGACGCGATTCGTCTGGCACTTTTCGTTCCCTGCGCTATTGCAGGTTTACTCCGATATCTCCGTGTGAACTTCGAATGGTAACCGTTTGAGTGGACTTTTCCAGTAGTGTTAGGTCATAATGATATTTAAGCGTACATTCTGTTCGACACCAGCTTATCTATCACTTCAGAACTCTCGTGCTACGGGACAGAGAGTGCCGCACTCGATGCAAAACACGTCACACGCTAACCAGCATTAACTTCGGCACTCGAAGTAACCGTATTGATGCCGTCCTGCTTACGACACTGGCAGTAGGAAACAGTCGACTTTTGTTGTACTCAGCGAACCCGTAGCGGCAACGGCAGTACAACTAGTTACAACTGCCCCCGTAGTTGTTAGCATTACAGAAGTACGACGACTTTTTTCACTACTGACTTTAGTCGACTACTCTCTGTGTGATGATTGTTTTTACAGCCAGTGTCGCCGTCCGCCTCTGTTCCTGCTGTACACAGCGGCTTTTTTTTAATCACGACTTGAATCGGAGAGTTGACTGTTGTTGTGTTCCGTCTGTTGCTGTACTAGTTGTCCGTACTGCCACTGTTGTTTTTGTTGTTAGCTAGCAGCTAACAACGGCCTGCTCCTATACGCACCACTGCCACGTCTATCGCTTCTGCTAGTCGCAGTCGTGTAGCAAAAGGACGACTGTTCTCTACCGCTGTAGTTGTCCTCGTCAACTTGCTGTTACTGTTGTTACTCTTATTACTGTTATTACTCTGGTACTTTTTCTCGGTAACTGGACTACTTCTTCTAGCCGACTACAACAACCCCAGTCACTGCGGGCCAGACCATTGTTATTGTTGTTGCTGCTGCTACTACTGTTGTTGTTGTTGTTGTTGTTGTTGTTGCTGCGACCTACACGATAGGCACTGGCGTCGATTCGCCGTTGCAGCAACTATTCACACAACACATTGCATCTAACCAGACGCATACACAACGGTCAATTGCTGCTGCTGCTGCTGCTACTGCTGCTGCTGCTGCTGCTGCGGCGGCGACGACGACGACGGCCGCTGCTGTCGCTGTTTGCAATAGTAGTGCTGCTGCTGCTGCTGCTGCTGTTGTTCCTACTAGTACTAGTACCTAGTAGCAGTAGTAGTAGCAGTACTAGTAGTTGTTTTTGTTGTAATAGTAGTAGTAGTAGCAGGCCGAGTGGCACTGTGATCGTTGATAGCGGTGCTGACCAGAGTCGTTGATGCTGCTGGCTAGCCACTACTGCTACTGGCGGTGGTGGTGGTAGTGAGGCAGGCGGCGGCGGCAGCAGCAGCACGGCTAGCGACGGGCAACTACTGCTGCTGCTGCTGCTAGACGAAGAAGAAAAGCCAACAGCGAGCGAGCGAGTGAGCGAAACCGCCGAGTGAGAGACCCACCGACGACCAAATGGCGGTTGGATACACAGACAGACAGATAGAGCGTTGAACGAACCAACGGCTGCCGCCGATAGCGATGTCGCTGGCGACGACGACGACGACGACGACAAGAAAGAACAGTTTCGCCGCCGGCGCCACTTCCCCTTCAGCCGCTGGCGCGGCTTAGCTAGCTGCTTGTGCCACCGCTCCTCACTACCGCCCGGCTGGATACTAGCCGTTGCCGCTGCTGCTCGGGGCTCTGCTGCTTCTCGACCGGAGACAGGCACACAAGAAGGGCCGCCATTCACCGCCGCTGCCAGCCACCCAGCCCGTTTGCTCGCTCAATTCAGTCAGTCAGTCAGTCAGTGGTTGCCGTATGTTGCTGCTGCTGCTGCTGCTGCTGCCGCTGTTAGAGTGACGGTGGCCGTGTTGCGAGCGCTGCCGCGAACAGCAGCGGCCGCCAGGTGGCTACTGCGCATGCACGCCGGGGCTGTCAGACGGCCGCGACGCCAGGCCAGCCACTGCTGCTGTTGATGGCTATCCCGTGCGACGATGGCGATGACAACAGCAACAACAAAATGAACAACAGCGGTGACGACAACGTCAACAAACGCAACGCCGTGTATGAGAGGGACCTGCGTATCTAGTTGCACGTTATGTGTGTGTGTGTGAGAGATTCAGAGGGTGTGCTCATGCGAGGGTATTAATGCTGCTGATGAGGGTACTTCTTTTCGTCTGTGCCGGGTGATGGCGAGAACGCTGTGCTGTTCTGCCGTTCGGGTGCGCAACGAGTACGTCGACCGGGAGTTGAGTTTTGGGCTTTTGCCAGCGCTCACAGGAGCAGCAGCGCAGAACCGGCCAGAATTGAGCAGCTTCGTCGCTGCAGCCCCCTCAGTTACGGCGGCGGCGGCGGCGGCGGCGGCGGCTCTCTGAAGCGCAAATCGACGTAAGAGCACCAGGAAGCTGCCGCACCAACACATCGACGATCACGCTGACGAAGACTACGCTGGCGCTGACCAGCCAACAGCGGATCCTCGTACTCACACTCACACTCACACAGATACAACACACACACACACTCACATACGCACACAGACAGACACATTCACATAGAAACACCCAGGCGCGCATACACACACACAGACGCACAGAAGCACAATATATAAATGCCCACCCATCGCCATCCACAGGCACTAGTTTCGTCCGTCAAGCCCCAACTCGTTTCCCTCCCTCCCCCGACTCTTTCTCTCTCGCTGGGTATTTCCCCTTCACTCTCTTTCGCGACCGACCGACTGACCGAGCGACGCCTAGCCTATAGCGCTACCAGTCAGCCAGACAGGCCGACTCGCGGCGGCAGCAGCATGCAGCGCCACGATGCAGCTCACTCGACAACGAGACACCACGACGCGGCCAGCGCGCAGCCACCTTGGGAAAGGAGGCCGGCAGACAGGCCCGTCGACTGGCCGGTCCGTTTGACGGCCGCATCGCCGCCATCGCCATGCTGGAATTCTTGCGACGTCACAAGTGACGTCATAGCCCCGCCCCGTAGAGCACACCGCGACGCGACAGCAGTAGCAAGCAGACACGAACGACGATGACGATGAAGTGGACGGGCCCGTCGACACCAACGACGGTAGCGATAGCGACGACAACAGACCTCCCAGGCTGATTGTCTATGCTGCAATGGGATGCTGATGATGACAACAACATTGGCGGTGATGCTGTCGGATGGGAAAGGGCGGGCGGGCGGGCGAGCAAGCAAGCCAGCCAGCCAGCCAGCCAGCCAGCCAGAGACCGGCCAAGAAATAGCGAACACGACCGCCGTCACTCACGAGTACGTAGCAACGTCTGCGACCTGCTAGCTCTGGCTCTCTGTCTGTCTGTCTGTAGGTCGCTCCGTTGGCGGCAACACGACGAGTACCAGCAGCAGAAGCGTCCAGGCGAGCAAACAGCAGCAGAAAAAGCAGCAGCAAAAGCTGGTGGCAGTCGTCGTGACGGTGGCGGCGGCGGCGTGCTGTTGATAGGGTAACTGACTGCCTGCCTGCCTGGCTGTCTCGCAAGCTGTTTGCCAGCCGGTTGCCTACTCCAGCCAGCGGAGGTGACGTCACCGGCCGGGCTCGCTTGGCTTCTTCTTTCGGCGTTGAGTCGCACGCGGCAGCACTCCCTCCCCCTCTATCTCTTTCTCTGCCTGTTTCCACCAGTTGTGGCGGAAGCATGCTCGTGCTTATTCGGTAGTGACAGCACTAGCAGCGACTGCGATGGCAGGCCGCGCGCGGCGGGGTGATAAAAAACGGCGAGTGAAAAACCGAAAAAGCTGGCGCTGAGGGCAGAGCTTTGTTTCTAGAAGGGGGCAAGACAAGCAACGGGCTTTTGCTGTCACCACTGTCCTGTCGATCGGCTGCTAGCGACATAGTTGTCTATTCATGTACCAGTTGTTATCGACGTCGTTGTCGTCGTCGTCGTACATGCAGGCGGACCGGATCATCAATATTGGCATGGTTCCATCATGCCAACACAACGACTCTGACTAAACCACTATTTTGTGTACACTGTGACAGCGATGGCGGATCAGTAGTAGCAGCGGCTAAATGGGCAGTCTATTGACTCAATGACGTAAAGAATAACGCCTGAGCAGAGCGGCTAACAACTAATGAGAAGGAGGATTTTTTTTCTCTTATTATACGCTTATGGCCAGTTATCTCTGTGCTTGCTGTATGTTTGTGGTGATGCAATACCTCACTTTTTTGTTTAATAAAACTAAACAGAACACAGAAAATCAATGTACTCGTTCAAGTGTACTGATCCATCTATGAATTGCGTACATTTATCAAATTCGTCTTTCGGTGGCATCGTGCTTATCGCAAACTAGTTTAAGCTGTTCTGTTCTTTTCAGCAACCCTGTCTCTGCAATATATGATTGCCACAATTCTAGATAACTTCAGAAAGGTATATATTGTCTATGGAACTCGAAGCGCCTACTGCCTAATGCGGATATAATTTATTATCACCTAGGTTATGTCTTAGTATGCCTAGTTTGCGGTCATTAATAGAAATCGATAATAATTGTGTTTACTTCAGCTGTTTCGTGTCTACACGAATATTAATGTAGGAGCTTATTTATAAGAAACATCTAGTACGTCTTCAAGTACGTTCACCCCTTTTTTTGCCTATGCGCTAAAATGATAATATTCTCGAATTTATACACCGCTACAGCAGAAAGGCTTTTGCTGCTCTTGAACTCCATAAGAGTCAGCACGCTGCATGTATCAACCGTACCCTGCTCGCAGTGAGAGCTCATTGAGGCAAACAGCAAACGGGACAGGCGAGCAAAAGGGACAAACAGAGAGGTCCCAATGCCAAGCCCCATTCAACCACCAATCTAACCAGGCATCGCCCGGTTACGCGGCCGCTTGCGCGTTGCATGCGATTCTTCCTACTTGTGTCGCTGTCCGATCAGTTGAGAGCGGGCGGTGGTTATGTTTTTGTTATGTCCCTTTCGCTTCTTTTTTCATAAATCACTGTCCGGTTTCCCTCTCCACGTCAGGCTCTTTGCTACGGGATACGCCTGCTGTCCTCCAACCCGCTCTTCGATCGATCGTTTCACACCCCGTAAGACATTAGGGCCTGCTTCCCTATAGGCTTTTCATTCTTTGTCTTATTACATACGTCCCATCCTCTTTCTGCGTATTTTTGCCCTTTAAAAGCCCCTTTAAGCCCAGTCTCCTTCTCTATGTTTCTTTCATACGTAAAAGTCTTGGCTTTGTCGTTCCTTGCCCTTTCCAATAACGTGTACCATACTCCCGGCCAGTGGCGTAGCGGTAGTAAGTGGAAAGATGGCAAATAGGGCAGAGGAGAGTTGTAGGGTAACAAGGGTAACGGGTGGGTGGTAATTGGACGTCGTAGGATGCGAAAGAGAAGACGACTCGATCAGGATGGATCGGGGACCTTTCTTTTGCGGACGGTTACTCCATCGAACCCTGCCGGCACGATGAGGCATTCTAGCAGCTCTCTGTCGTAGACTTTCTCCCTAGAGGTCTTTTTCGAAGTGTGCCTCGCTTACGCCTGTAAGTTCCTGTAAGCCTGGATGTGCAGCACCCAACCCTAAGTTGTCTTTCCCTGTGAATTCTGTTCGTTCATCGCTGTGGACGTGACGGCGCTGCCAACCAGCGACGAAGCTCGGTCACGTTGCGAGACGTGTATTTATCCCTTCCTTCGATTCTCGCCGCGTTTCCTCAACCGCCATACCAGCGGTCCCATGTTCTGCCAGTTGTTCGGCTTCTTTCTAGGGATCTTATTCCTGTTGTCTGCTTCCCCTTGTCCTTGCCAGTCGCCTTTAAAGCCCCTAACGTCTCCCCTCAAAGTGAAAGAAGTGCAATAGCACGCCGGCTGTCTTTTTTATATTAAGTGTTAGTCAGATGAGAGCCGACGACTCTGCTAGTGAATACACACAATAAACTAGTATCAATTCAACTATGTCCAATATATGAATATATTTATGGGTTTACTGAGCCTAGAAACGTAGTACACGCTAGAAGGAACCTCGGACTTTGCCCTGTACTTTTACTATTAAACGTATTAGATAATAGGCTAATCGTATATGGAATAGAGCTAACGCTAAATAACCCCCGTTTTATTTTGAGATCTGTCTCGTATAGAGCGTCCTGAACTAAATTGTTTTGTCTGCTTTGGATTTTATTGTGTGTGATATTCTTGTTGAATCAGATGTTTTTTTTTACTGTTGGTGGTTACGCATTGAAGGTTTAGTTTCAGTGTGTCGAGCTCAAAATTGTGCATATGTGAAAGAACGTAGTTGTGTCTATGTAGACTTATGATCAAGTGAGTCCGTATTAAAATTGATTTACGAGGACGGCAGAGCAGGACGCTGTGAATAACGATATGTTTATTTATTTATTTATTAATTTCACCCTGGGGAAGGTCTTGGCTTTTTACGGTATTCTTTGTTTTGCGAATTGCTACAGTAAAGCATGTTAGCGCTGAAAATTGAGATTGCCGAGGTGACATTTTGTCGTCGAGAAACAGGAGGATAATTCTCGATGGAATAACAACGTGGTCTTTACAAATACAGATCCTTATAATCTCCATTAAAATTAGATGATTATATAAGAATCTGCATCATCCACCTATTCTTGTATCGCTCTAAGGTTTAGAAGGACCTAAGTCTCTCATAGAGATAATTCATAAGCCTTCTTCTGGTTGTAAAACAGCAGTCCAGATATCTCAAAACTATTGAGAAATTTTATAAGGAACTGTGTGGTGTCAACGTATTACGTTACTTGATTAAACGAATGCGCATTTTTTGAGAATTTTAGACAATCGTTCAATGCAAGTACTGTTGATGTTTCGGACCATTCTATCCCCAAGAATTAACATGTATTTTTTGGTGTAAATTGTCCATGGGCTTTGTCGAGAGATCGTGCTCGATAGAATCCTATTAGACTACACTTTTTTAGGGCAGTATAAGCTCATTGTTGGCATTTTTCGAAAATTTATAGTCATCGATGTATAACAAAACCTGAAAGCAGTTGGTGTCAGTTTCATTTAGTCAGACATTGGTAATTGAAGTGACTTCTATAGATGTGGCTCTTTGACACCGGCGTCTTCAATACTTATTTTTATTACTGGTAGCGGCTGATGGAATCGCCTGAACATAAGGTAATGTTAAACTTCAAAAGGTTCGCTTTCAGTGCACATACCGCAAAGTATTCGATCAACAGGCTTTCATCTAATCATTGGGGGGATTCGTTACAAACGATAAATGCCATCGTACGAAAGAGATCTGCCGTTTCTGAATTATTTTTTTTGTTGCATATCTATCTTCCTTGACGTGACCGGGAATCCCCTTGAATCAAGAATGTGCACTTAGGCCTGGGAACATTAAGGTTGCCGCAATTACTGGTAAAACTACTATCTCCCCTTATTTTGGTTGGTAGTAAATCAATCGCAAAGGCTTTACCTCTCTACTCCGGAGCGTTGACAAAGATTACTGAGCCGTTCTTTATTCAAGACAATCCTAAACGTCGTAATATAGTTCTTTTTGTTGCTTATTCAAAGGTAGTTGGTGGGTGGTGACGACTTTGATCTGTTCAGTGTTTTCATATCGGAGTTCCTACTGTTTTTGTTTTTTTTTTTTGGTATTGTTATTGTGGGTTTAGTAGACTGACTTTTTCTTATTTTAGGTTTAACGAGTCGGCGACTTTTTGTCATTAACATAATCACAAAAATATCGCAAATCGTCTTTAGGTTTACTCGCTTTCCTCCGTGGTTTTCATCATCGCTGAGAAGAAGGTTTTTGAGTTGCAAGGAGGACCTCTTTAAACGTTTTCGGTAGGACGAACGATGTAAGCCTAAAAACATTGGTAAATAACAATCTTACCCCATGGATTTCCTTTTAACCTGGATTAGCTGTGTAGAGACTGGAAAGTATATTTTTTTTGTTACTAGTAAGTGGGAAATTTTGGAACTTTTAAATCCTCTTTCCTTCGATTCCATATGTTATTGGTGTAGAATTAGAGTGCATTGACCTAGAGAATTGTTCCTACAGATTTGTCAGAGCTGGAAAGAGCCATGAATGCTTTCAACTTGACTTATTTTTCGGTGTCTCCAAGGGTCGCGCAGAATAAAACATTTTTTATTAAGACACTTGTTTTTGCAGATGTATCCACCGTGGTTCGACTTATACGTTCGATTTCGTCCACTTTAAAAATAGCTCTGTCACTTCCCTTCAGTATGTCATAATGCACTTAACTGATGAGATCGATGCGTATGTTTCAACGTCAAAATGGCAATTGGAAGTTCTCAGCAGTGTAAGGGACAACCCAATGTAACGTTTTTCTTTTGTCTGTTGACGCTCTTTGTACGCTGCGCAATCTCCCATTTCTGGAGAACATCGCATATATGTTCGGTATAAGCGTTTTTCGTAGCGTTACGTTAGATGTATAACTTCAAGTGCTTAAAAAAACATTAACCATCTTTCGTACAGATTGAATTAGCATATGATTCGCGTTATGGATGATATGTTTTAAGACAAATTCGTCGAGTTCCGGATCTTCGTTTGAATCCGGAGTTTTAGCTGGGACACATGTATCACATTTTCGTGGTCGTTCCTTCATTAGACAGCAAACTATAAACGTCCGGTAATTTTCCTAATTGCTAGTTTTCAACTAGATAGTTCACAGGTTCTGGCAATCACGGATTGCATGTCATTGTCAGAAATACTGATGCAGCTCCCTGCCATTTAGAAGCCCTGCCATTTAATGATAGGATAAAACGTCTGCCAATCGCTGCAAATTCATCTTCGTTATTTACGGCATAACTCCCTAGTAGAAGTCAATCCTAGAGAAGCCAACCATTTTTGATTACGTTTACATAGAAACGATTGGCCAGTTAATTTTCGCAGCCATATCGACTACGCACCGTTGGAAGAGATGCCCTGCTGCAATGGATGATTGAACTGACCCTCATGAATCATAATTCGATAAGCATAATAACGCGGTTCCATTAGTTTTGTGCGCAGCTGACGATGCCAACCATGGAACCACCTAATAGAAACAGTAATGTAGGCGGTTATAGGACTGATGTGATTCGTAAATGATCTGTAACTAGTCTTCTTGTTCGCTTGGATCGTATAGGTACCTTAGGACGATGTGTCGCGGTGACCCTACCATATTCGATAATTCGACATAATAATTCGTTCGCTGCCTTAGCATTTGTGTGTTTTCCCATGTCCACCTAATAACTATCGGTCAGGATCAACGACGATACGTCTCCTTGTAAATCTGTAACGTACCGTTTTGCTCTTAACAAGGGTTGTTCTATTCTCTAAACCTTGAACGATAGTACCAAACTCTACACGGTACATGATTTGGATTCTACGCTAAAAAAGAAAAATTTGCATAAATCGGGATTGCTCGTAACATTAGGGATCTGCTATGTAATTAATAAATAATTGTAGGTTTTTTTTAGCCGGACGACACTTTCACAGTGGAACCAGACAAGATTTGAAGTGGACAATTGCATTGTTTTTTCGAAAAACCTTTTCGAAAAGTCTTTGTTGCTGATGTATTGCTCATATATGATTCGTCTACTTCTTCAAGCAGTTCTATGTCATTGATTTTTTTTTCGCATGTAACTGAAATTTACCGTTTTGTCTTTAAAAAGGTCTGCTTTACACTAACGGCAAGTTTCGTCCATCCATCCATCCATCCATCCAACGGCGGCTACCATGTTTTCGTGTTGGTTTATTCTTCGATGTCTATGTCTTCGCGTATCAGTGCGATGTCGATCGTTTGTTTCTTCGACTCTGTTTCGTTATGCTTGGAAGTTTGTTGTCTTTTACGATCTGCTTTACACCGCTCATTCGCTTATTCTGCTCTTCTTGACGCTTTACTCTCTCCGCGCTTCGATTGTTTTTAGCGGCCGCTGTTTCTGACCACGATCATTTCGGCATGGTACGACTAGTTAGTAGGCTATAATCTTGATGGACGAAAAACCTGATACTTCAGCAATATAGTTCAAACATATCGTTTATCATGCAACACAGTTTTCGCACTGATGGAATATCCGTTCGGACAATGCTAGAGGCCGCTTTAGTGTTTATATACAATGGTGAGGTGTTGTTTCCACACATAGGTAAAAAGTATGTTACTGTTGTTGGTTTACAACCAACCAAATTAACATTATGCGCTATGGGAAAAAGTAAACCCTTTTCACCAGGGCAAGAAGTATTTGGCTGATCGGCTCCATTTTCCGCGCAAAACTTACCAGGATAAGACCCTCGTGACCCACAAATCAACTCAAGCCGGTCATTTTAGGGGTCGTTTTGGGTTCGATTTAAAATATCACCCAGCCTAACTTTAACTACAGCATGCACCAACAATTAACCAGTTACAATAACCCTGTCTCACCCAACCCGTCACCTATCTATAATTATCACCCTGGTCTTTTATGTTCGCCAGGGGCTCTGCCTATTCTAGGTTCGTTGTGCTTCACGTTGTGCTAGCATTCCGTGCATTTCTTTAATGCAATTGCAAAGCTTTTTAGTATTTGCTGATTGATTCTGGGACACACGGGACTCTCAGTAGGGTCGGCATACCTAAAATATCAGAATTTAGGCGAGCTAGACTTTATGGCCACGATTGGTTGAGTGGCGACAGCCGCTATTTAGCTTCAAGCACCAATATATATATATATATATATATATATATATATATATGTATATAGACTAAACGTTTATCTACATTGCTCTATATTTACTGTTGCTGACTTTTACCGATGCGAGTTTTTTCAAACGCTTATCGTATTTATAAGTATCTTTACTAGATAATTCACATGTGTATTGTCCTGTTTTGGACAGTAGAGTTTTGAGTCGATTGCCCTAATCATAATTATAGCACTTGTTCAATTTTTTTTTTCACCGTTGTTGCCATTTGCCGTGAGGATCATGTTTATATAATCTAATATACTGATCAGCCTGGTTTAGGAGCGTCAGGGTCTTCTTTTCGAAAACTGGTATTTTGAATATGCGATATTTGTATCTCGAGACATTGCGGGTTTAAATCGTCTGCAGTGGTAGTAGGGGGCGCTTAATAAAACTTCATAACAAACTCGAGTAAACTGGAAGAGATCATAAAACTTCCATTAATGCGCGAAGAAAATTATATTTGGGAAAGCCTTGCGTTCATTGCGAAAATAGATATAATTTTTACTAGTTAGATTTACGTAATTGCAGAGTTGAAGGAGATCCTTCTAGGAATCGTATGATAGGTAAACTAGCTCATACAGATATCATAGAGTAAAGTTATGGCGGCTCGTAGCTATCTCACCCTAAAATGTGTACGTGTGTAATGGAAGAGAAAGATTGGAAATAACGCGCGTACAGCTTTGTTTTTGGTGAGAGCGAAAAAACTGTTAAAAGGAGAACATAGCGCTACGAGTGCGTCGTCAGGAGGTACGCGAACCGTATTTGTGAGTAATACCAACCGGAGAATTATTACTGCACATAAACAGATACGTACGCAAAGTATTACGGCCCGATGTACGGATCCAGCAGCAGATATGCATCGACATGCTTTTCCCATGCCCCCGTTACAAATGTTAAAAGTGTACATGGGCGCAACGGGTGTAACCCACTCTTGAGTACGCGGTATGTTTAGTCGTATTCGGGTCATTAGTTCTGTCAGATATCAGAGAGCCTGCTTTTGCCATTGCGGTCGCTTGTAGCGTAGTCGATGAGTGGTTGACTGATTGGCAAAGCCATCGACAAGATGGCATGGCATCAGCAGTAGGAGTAGCACCACTATCATTATAAAAAGCGGCAACGAATTATTACTGCCCTTGCCTTTACTTAATCTACGTCGGGATTACCATCAGTGTAGTAATGACTGTGACTCTTCAGCTGCGGTTCTGTTGCAGTTCATCTACTGACGCGCTGTAGTGGTAATAACTCTTCATTCGCTGTATAATTTCCTATAAGTCAATGTTTCATTGGTCTGGTTCTGTTCATTTCAGACTAACATATATATATATATATCTATATACACATATATGCGTGTGTGTCGACATCGTCCCGTATCCGCTGCTGACCGCTGTCTCTGTTAGAAAAGAGAACAAGAAACGTGTCACTATCGTTGTTCGGGAGAGCGCTGGTTTCTGTTATTTGCCTGTGCTGGCTTGCTGCATTCGTTGCTCTGGCCAACGAGTGTCCGACTGACTAACCGGCTAGATAGTTAGTCAGTCAGTCGTCGGTCAGCTTCGTGGATCGAATGAACTGCTGCCAGGCAGCGAGGGCAGTTTGTGTGGCGTCGTCGTAGTGGTGATGGCGAATGCTGTGTTACGGGTGGCAACTGGAAGCTTTCGTCGTTCATCCTTCGTTCTCTTGTTTCCTTCGTCCAGCGCTTGGTCGGCCGATGGGCCCTCAACTGCCGTACGCCGATGATGATAGCGTCGCTGCTGGTCGGTTGCCTTGCTGTATCTCTTGGCCTTGAATTCCGACCAAGCGAGCGAGTAGTGCGAAGCACCAATCGCAGTAGCGGCAGCAAGTAACGCGCGGCGACGTCACATACCGGCAGCCACGAATCAACTGAAGGGACGAATGAGGAGGCCTTGCCGGCCAGCGCCAACGGCCGCAGTTGCCGCCAGAGCTCAGCCTCAAGCGTTTTCAAGCTAGCTGGCTTGGCAAGTCAACCCGATCACGAGCAGCATCAACATGTGCGGCGGGCGCTGCCTATGCCGTCACCGCCGCGCCATAGGGCAGAGCAACGTAGCGCTCGAAGGCATGGCGCCCTGCACAACAGCGTCAGCAGTGTTGCTCAAAGGGAACAACCGGCAGCTATAGTAACGGCCGTTACTCGCCGCGGATAATAGGAAAAGAACGGGGGGCACCAACCGAACGTGCGATGCAAAACTGAGCCAGGCCGATGGCGAGATGCTGTTTCACTCTAGCTAGTGGTGAGTGCTAGTTGAATATAACCCTTCTAGCTGATTAAAACGCAAAGCGCTTGCAGTTCTAAACAGACAACAACCTACCAGGTCTGCTGTTTGGTAGCAACGGTTGGGGATGATGGCGACAGCGGAATGACGCTCGTCAACGTGGCCATCGGTGTCACAACCGTTTACCAGTTAGCGTCTAATATTTAGCTGCCATTACCGCCACCAATGGGATCCCTTCCTCTAGCGTCACACAGCTATCAAGCACGATTGCCGTAACCATCGAAGCCGTTTGCAGCTGCGGCAGCATCCACTGCTATGCCACGTACGCCGTTCGTTGACCTTCTGGCTGGCAGCCATCAAAAGGTGGCGTTTGACGCTAGTTACTGCGGCGCCGCGATGCGATACAGTAAAAACAACAGGCAAAGCAGGCAGAAACAGGTAGACTACAAACAAGCAATGACAAAGGCCTTTTGCTCCCCAACTTATTCAACGACCTATCTGCCTGGTTAGTTGACTTCGGGAAGCAGGACACCACGACGACGACGACGACGGCGTGGAATCACCTAGCCGCCTGATAGAAGCATGGTGCTGGATCTGCGTTTTTATCGCTGTCCGACCACCCTGGCATCGTCGCAGACGCCATCCAACGTTAGTCGCCGGCATGCAGGACCAGATTCAGCGTCAACAACAAGATTGGAGCTAAAGCTCCAGTTCACTTTCGCAAATGCACAAACTGCAGGGACGAAATGGACATATTTTGAAGTATTTGCGATACCATCCAGTTGAAACGGCTGAATACTTGAAAGAATGGTATACAATATATGGCTGAATCGATCTTCATCCAAAAACGAATCACCCCAACAATTTGTGCATAGTGAACTAGTTTGCTTTTATTGTTATAGAGCATTATGGTCAAACGAGTTGCCATCTAGAGATAAAAGAAGTTTATACACAAACTAATTAAATAACTAAATAAAGTAGCAGTTGTTAAACGTACTACTTGACGTGATAATTTTCTAAAATAACGTTATATACGGCCTCGCTACTAATAGGTAATCTGTTGATGTAATGTTGTCATAATTTTGCAGCAGATTATTTTTCTGTACAGGGAAAGTGCTATAGGAAAATGGAGAAATGGCACTACTCATAACGTTTCGACGTTGGTATTCTACGAAGATGTTTTTTTAACAACACTAAAGCAAAATTCATTCATATCATTAGAGATAATACGCATACAGATCGGAGTGTAGTCAGAGATGAGTCCGAAGTATGTAGCAGCGTTTCATTCCACTAACCTGTGTAACTTCATAACTTCCATGGCATGTGTAGGCAAGTTCGATAACAAGAAAGATCCTTAAAAATCAAAATGTTTTTGGCTCAGATTCTGAACGCTAATTTCGGGATCTTTATCTGCTGTGGAAAAAGTCGTCGAATGCGTATTTTAGCGACAAACACACTACCTACCAGCACTTTTGTATTGCAGTATTTATCTTTACGGAGATATTTTCGAAAAAAAAAAAAAAAAACAGCTTACGTCATGTAATCCGTTTGAGGGAATATCGCCATATTTCGAATTGTAGAAATTCAAGAGCAAATGCTGCTTTTGTTCCCCCGTCATTTTTCCTAAGGCCATCGACTGTAACAAGTTGGCATTCGATTCCAACGAGCGCGACATTGTATATTGTTAGTATAAATTGCAAAACTTAGAGAAGTACTCGTTACCCAGACTTCTTTGTCTTGATTTATAGAGGCAGAAACTATCGTTTAGCCTTCCATACAGTTTTTTTTTAACATCTGAAGGCTATACCGATTCTGATCCGAGTCTGGTTTTCAACGACGATTATGGGTCAGAATACACTAAAAGCGTATTGGGTTGTTTTCTTTGAGCACAAATGAATACAAGTTGCTCGAAAATAAGCAAACTCGACTTCATTTTTGATGTCAAGTCTCTAATATTCACATTTTTTGCCATAGTGTGAAAGACCACCGTATTTAGGAGGAGGATGCGCGTCAGGCTTTACAATTATTGCTGCAAACTATTTGCTCAAGTGCTCCTCTACTTAACTGATATAGGCCTTTAGTAAACTTATGCTTAACGTACCGGATAAACAAAAAAAGATCTCTTCGTTTTTATCAAAGAACCTCGGCTACAGAGAGTTACCGAAATATGCAGCCTGCCAGGTTTACGACAATTATCTACCGTTAGCCTATCTGAAATTATAATCAGTCATTTATTTATATCAAAGTAAGGCCATAACAAGGATGTCATACCTGGTCATGTATGATTAGATAAATTACTTGGCGTAATCCAAATCAGTGGCCGCATACTCAATCCCGTAATTTTGCGCCTGTTTTTGCTTGATATTGTCATTCAGAACACCGGGACCAAATGGTCGTTTGTGGCATAATAGACCCTGTTCCACTCAAGTCAACAGGCAAATTACCACGCACACAACTGCTTACTTGACTCCTTTTCTATGGTAATGTATATACATATATATATGATATATATGGTCATAGAAAAAAACAAGTTTGTCTGTTTTTCCGTTGTAAATTCGTTCATTCATTGTCATTGAGCAGTGTATAAATCCGATCATCTTGTTTAGCTCAATTAGTTCTTAGGCTAGGCTTTTTCAGGTTCATGTCGATGAAAAAAACATTATTTCTAGCCATCTATAACGATTCTTGTCATTGTGGCTGTTTTTTACTTCATGCCGGGCAAGGTGTTGTGAGACAATTAATGCCTTCCTGCGATTTTACTTAGTTTACGGGTCACGCATCCTCCCTGATGTTTGAAGTCCCGTTGACGAAAGATGCTTCACGTAATCATGTGTTTGCAGCCTATCTTCTATGTCAATTAAAGAACTGTGTACGATTTGAAATTTTCATCGAGTTCAAATGACTATCCAGGGTGGGGTACAGGGGGAGGCAGAGGGGGATTCAGATATAAGCTGCCATTGTTAAACTTAGTGAATTATCTTCGAGCAGTTGTTGCAGAAATGCAAACCTCGCTAAATAAGGCATAAAATCCCGCGCAGCTTCAGTAGCTCTTTGACCCCAACAAATGTCGAATTGTATTTCGACTTGTGTTGGGGTCAAAGAGTGCGCTGTTTTCCGTCTGGAGCATCTCTCTCTAGAGCCATAAACTTTTGTTCACAAAATGAACATACCATTTGCTTGGAAACAAAAAGTTCGTTTTGAATTAAACAGTGTAATAATAAAGAGAAAGAAGCCATCTGAAAAAAAAGGCCATTTCTTTTTATCTAATAGCTTAATATATTAGGTGACACAAAACATGATGGCTGTTTTCGTCCATTACTTCCCATTTTTGTCCTTGTTCGCTGCTAAGTGAGTGTTATATACGTATAGAACGCTCTATATTGGATTCTCAAACAGATATGTTGGACGGTAAGAAACAGCGCCTGCAACACTCAATGCTCGTCTTTCATGGAATACAAAAAGGTCTAAAATAACCTAAAATAGGTATGAGGTGTATGAAAGAATTTTATGGATGAAGGACTTTAATGAAATTGGACTTCTCAGGCTTGCTGTAACTTGGTATTGACATTTTGCAGATTCAATTGCCCATTTCATTGTATTTCATGTCTTTACTTATTGCCAGCTATGTTAAGCGTACGAAAAAAATATATTTGATTCCAAATGGAGCAGTTTCTAAAAACAAATTGTGCGAAATATACAAATATTTTTTTGAATATTGTAGTTTTATCATTGTAGATAGGTAGGTCGGTGACTAAATAAAAGCAAGAGCGGATGCTTGAAGTTTTACTAACGACACATAGTATACAACTTGTGCGAATAAAAAAATTATTTTTAATGCTACTATCGAAAATTATTTCCATTATTGGTAATTCATTTTATCAATATTTTTTACGAACATTTTTTTAATTTTAAAAATTGGCTTTTACAATTTAAAAATGACATCTTAGATCTAAAGAACGCATTATGTAATTTTCTCAAAAATAACTAAAATCAAAGTTTAATCTATCTTTGACCTAAACGTAGAAACCTAGCAACAGAACCATCAATAGCCTTTCTATTCTCCTCCTAAAAAAGATTACTTAAAAATGTGAAGCCAGATGCATTTTTCACACTTACACATTTACACTTCCAATTTCTTTGATTTTATCAATATTAAAATTTACGACTTTTAAATATGTGTTTTCTACTGCAGTACAATGTTGGTTCTCTAGGGCGTCTAACCCTCTAACCTAAACTCGCACCCAAAGTCCGATTCCCAAAAAGGGGAAAAAAGGCGGACTCTCAAAGAAGAATGGGTAAATATATAATAATACTTCGTTAGTAAATGAATCGTAATGGTATCTGTATTGTATTAAATAAATAAAAGTCCAAGATCTACAGATCAACAGAAAAACGTGCTACTATAATGATCTAACACCCCTTTGGTTTATAGGAATAATTCATGATCTTAACATTTGCCTCCTCTTCTATTCAACTAGGAAGCCAACTCTTTTTTATTTTATATGTAAATAGACGCGGGAGCTGTAATGTCGATCAATATACAGGAATCAGGATTACAATCTATAAATAAAAACCCAATAAATCGAGATTTTTAGTCATGAGGTATTACCAATAGTTTACCTTTCAGTAGCTTTTGAATTTCGGTCGACAGAAAACGTCAGAGATGGGAAAAATACGAGGTTGAGTGCTACAGCCCTTGAATAAACTGTCATCGGTGTGCCATAGAAAGCTTGTATGCACTCACCTAAATGGAAGCTATATGTAAATTAAGGAGGCTTCTATTAATCAGCACAGATAAAGTAGAAAAATGTGGTGCAGTAGGTGACCAAGTTGCAAAAAGTCGTACAAATCAAAAGAGGCCAGCTGTTGATTAAGAATCCAAGAAATACGGTCCGTGATAAACTAAACTTAATATGTTGTCCCTATTCACTTTAAGGGACTTTAGAAATGTTAGCATTAGATGAAGTAAGAGCACATAAAATGAAGAGGAAATAAAGCGTGAGGAGCGACGTAGCTATTGATAGAACGACGTTAAGGCATGTGGCCCCGGAGAATGTTTCAGACAGCCTTAAGCAGATATGGATACGTTATTTTAATAATAGAGATTACTGAATGTGTTCCATGTATTCACCGACGCAAACCTGGTTCTAGGCGATGTGCCACCTGCACAATTTGAAGCCACATTATTACACATAGGAGCTCCAGAATTCACGAACTCGTTTTGCCAGTACGAACCACAGATCAGCTCAGGATATGGAAACGTATGAATGATTCTTGGCAAACAACATGGCAGCGATTGCAACCTTAAAGCAGGTGCTTAACCAGTTTGATCTGTGTTTCCTAACCTCTAGAAATGTCTTTGAATGTTGTTACGAGTTCCAAGCAACAAGAAATGGAACGCGAAGCGTGAATAACATCACTGACTTAGAGAAACAGTCAAAACAGTCTAGCGTCCATGAACTTGACCTCGAAAAAGCATGATAATTGTGGATGTTAAAATTGAATCAATTTCCAGAATCCGCTATGTGCTTCAAATTCGGATTTCTTCAAAGCTAATGATGACAGGTATATATTTAAATACAGCTGATCTCGAGTCGACGGACAAGCTACAGAAACGATTTGCTCTGTGTTGTCTGGTTAGTCATCAGATATCGTGCATACAGGAAATTCGCAGCCTGTGGCATGCTGTGAACTTCCTGTATCCCGAAGTAAATTACTCCCATCAGTAATCAGCCTCTACAGTACGGAAGTGGCACTTCAACAGAGGTAGACTACACCTCGTTAACAGGAAAAATACGGTCGACAGCCGACCCAGGCACTGCCTGGGCCGATAGGATCACTACGCGGACTACTGCTGGCAGTGACGCCCATATACGGTGGATCAAGTAGGTGCTGCGTCTCTTGTTAGAGAGTGTGTTCGGAGAGCTGTATCGCGGAAATATTGCGATTTGCCATTTGCCAGCTCGAACTGAGCCGAATCCGCTGAGGGTGGTTAGCATTGCAGGGGTAGAAAACGGGGCTACGGGGTCCTGTATTTTTCAACGAATCTCCCATATGAAAGGCGTTGCAGTCGATACTATCAGCTAAGAAAAACCTTGGATATTCTCCTAATTTAAGTGAATTGATTCGGAATTGATGGTTGATACCTTTTAGTTTATGTATTTCAAAACAGAAAAAAATGTCACACTTTAAATAGCGAACAACAAGTCCCCGCAGTATCGACACTATCATTTTGGAGTTCACAGCTATATAGAGATGTTTCTTCTTGGAAGAACATTGAAGTGGTCTTAGGATGATTTACACGCGAGAAAGATTTACTAATGTCCGACAGGGTTTAAGAGGTAGCAAACAACAACTGATGTTCAATGCACAGAGTAAAAGATATGATTCTTTAAAAGACATTCCATCACGAATACTTGCAAGAGCACCGGGATATTTTATCGGTAAAAAAATTTCAAGTTTACAGAACAGCTAGTAGCTACCAATCTTATAACTGGGATTTTCTAGGTTCAAAAACAGCTTTTCAACTTTACTGAAGCTGTTAAGCAAAAAAAAACGTTGTGGTACTCCAATTATTTTTTTATTTGTTCGCATGTTCCAGCAGTTATTTACTATGTGAGATTGTTTAAATCAGTTATTCTCCTTGACGTTTTCCCTATGTTTAGTTTCTAGAATGGCTTACCTTAGTATAATATAGAATTTGCAAGATACGAACCTCAATTAATTATGATTATGTTCTTAGGATATATTACTGAAGAATATAGCTTCCGTAAGGTAAATCGGGTAGATATAACTAGCTCAATAGTTGATGAAATTCATTTCAGTTCGAGTATTATAATAAAACCACATAACATTAAGTTGCAGTACTAGGTGAAATTTATTATTATTTATTACTACTTTATTTTTGCATTTTAATACTGTACTGAAACAAATACTATAAAAAAATAGTCAAGCGAATAGCTGAAACACAAGGATAGGTGTATATATATATATATATATATGCACACCAGCTCTGATTGATATACAAGTAAATCCCCCCGAATTCCGCGATTCTAATAGATCACTATAGGTAAGATATATAATAGTAGGTAAGAATGTTTTGAAGCAGACTAGTACTTAACAACGAGTTCGCTGTGTGCAAAAGGTCCCAAAATAATTTCCAGTAGGAAAACGTAAAAATTATTTAGTAGGAAATTTTAGCACTTGTTTATCTATTTGTTTATAAAGAGTTTGCCGAACGTTTGAAAGATAGCAGCTTCTGCTGCAGTCAAAATAAAATAGTTTAAATGGCACTCACAAACTACGGAACATATTCTAGCAATTAGAACCTAGGCATTGTATTGCAACATATCGTATAGCAAACTATATGGCCTTACTAAAAGAGGATCTGAAATGACCAGTTGGCCGTAATATGCCTTCAAAAAAGTTTCATTATATTTCTATTTTTTTTAGATAACACATATATTAGTGTGTTGCATAAGTCCAGATGCTGAGAGATGCATACTTTTTGTTGTAAATTTATAGAGCTGTGTGACTGAAGCGCTTTTCTCACAAAATTTATTTTATTATAGGCAGTATATTTTTGATTAAATTTGGCTAGACTGATACCCATCTATTGCAGAGGCTGTATTACATTCTGACCGGCTTACCAATGTAAGATATATAATACAAATAAATTTAAATTTTATCTATTTCTCATACATGTGGTATTGCCATATGGTCGAAATGAGAATTATCTATTTTTGCATTGTCTATAATTCAGTTAAATATCGGACTAAGCTGGCGGGCCCGACGCTTTGAATAATAAAACAACGGATCTCGTAGTAGGAGGAATGAGCAACGGACGGAACAGCTGGCTATCTTTTCGAGTAGTTTCGAATTCGATGAAAGGGGAGAGAGAGAGAGAGAGGGAGAGAGAAAGAGTGCTAAAATAGAAAATAATATTTGTGGTGCAATCTGCATTTGCTATTCGGGAACATCGAATTCGAGTACGAAATTCGGGCGTCCTCTAAGCTCGTGTCTTCGATAATGTGCCTCAGTCGACAATTAGGCGTTTGCTTGTGCGTATCCGCAAAGCACTAATTGACATTTCGCTGTGTGGTGTTAGTGTAACTGGTGTTAATGGTGGGCAGCTTGTAACGCCCGTGCCTATAACGACTGTATCTGATGCGATGGGCAGATGTGCGCCCTGAGGAACCCCGTCGTGTTTCGAAACACCGGCCCCTCGTCCCCGTATCCGGAGTCCCTCAGGCGAACACTGCCAGAAGACTGCCTGCAACAGCAGCAGCAAACACAATACCAATCGCAGCGGCAGCTGCAGCTGCACCGGCCATCTCTAGTCAGCCTGTTCTCAGCTTCGCCAACGGGGCTGGTGGTGGGCCCAGTTCGAGGCAGTTAGAAATGTCGTGCGTGCGCTGCCGCGGCGAAAAGGAGCCGCTCGAACTCCGCGGTACGCCAGTTGACGCGTGTCAGCTATGCGGAGGATTCTACGCCACACGATCATCGATGAGCCCTCTTTGTCTTGCATGCCACAGTTTCCTGTACCCGTTGCTAGGGTGGTGCGAGCTTGCGCGCGACGTAAGGCGCGCGGACGCGCCAGCTAAGAGCGACAGCGAAGACAGCGGAACTGAAGAGCCACAAGATTTTTATGAAACTCTTCGGCCACCGCCATCGAAAAAGCTGCTGAAACCCCAACCTGAAACACGACGAAATCCCGAACAGCTGAATGAGGTGCTTCACGCGCTAAGTCATGCACGACCGCCTGAGGAACGGCTCAAAGAAGGTGTCATCGAAAGCCTTCCTGAAGAGGTTCTCCTAGCCATATTCTCGTACCTGGACGATATTTCGCTTTGGAGCGTTACGCAGGTGTGCGAACGCTGGCGGGACATTCTGGAACGACACCTATCGGAGACTCGCTGGCGAAAACTTACCCTCAAACGGTGGCCTTTGCTAGGTAGCTCATTGCAAGCACCGCCGCGCAGCTGGCGACAGCTGTTTTCGAATCTCGTTCTTAGTTCGAGCTGTCTACTGTGTCTATCGCAAAGTGGGGAGCGACTGCGGTATGCCCGGGCCCATTATTTTCTACACCAAAAAACACCATCTCGCTCTGGGGCTGGTCCCGCCGGAATGGGCGCTGCAGGTTCCGGTTCGGGTGCGCGAAATCCTGACGTTTCCTACATATGTCGGGATTCGCGTATTGGCCATGAGATGACGTTGTTGAAAGCCGACCCTCTTGATGGTGTGCAATTGAAGCCAGTTGACCATATCGTATATGGTGAATGGCATGCATGTATAGCTGGACCAGCTGGATCGCCGTACGAGGGTGGTCTATTTTACCTCACAGTGAGCGTATCATGTCGTTATCCAATGGACCCGCCGGTGGTTCGGTTCCTCACGAAGATTTTCCATCCGAATGTCAGTCGACACGGAGACATTGGATTGGACTCGCTTCAGCACAACTGGTCCTTGGCACTTACCCTGCCGAAGATTTTGCTCAGCATTCAATCTCTGCTCACCGATCCATATACACGGGTGTGTATGGAGCCAAAAATCGGCCAGATGTATCGAGACAACTATTCTTTGTATGAGCATACGGCGCGTCTTTGGACGATGCTCTATGCGAAGCACCATCTACCTTTGACGTTGAAAACATGAGCTTGTGTTTGTGATTTCGATAGGTGAATGGACGGCTTATTGAACGGTACAGTTTGACCGTTCAGGCCAGCCAGTGTTACCGACTCGGATCGCCTGTTAGAGGAACAACTCATTAGGCGAATATACCTTCCGATGCTTTTAGTTTCCTGAACGTGAACGGCATGAAAGACGAAGTTTGGGGCTCATTTGTACAGTGTTGGTGATTATGCCTTGTTGTACACTTAGGTAAATATACACACACAGACAGACAAAACACAATCATTAGATGACATATTTCACTTTGTTAAACAATCCATTCTCGGTGAATTAAGAGCTTGGAGAATGGCGTTCATGACAATATTTGTTAATTCGCTTTCGTACGCATGATCGCGATATATTTTGTCTGCCGTCAATGATAATTTAATAGATTATATATTAAGTAGTAAATATGTGTGAAGGTAAAAGAAGGAAGCAGGAACTTTTTTCTTGGTGGTAAGCTATTCATGCCAAATCGGAAAGCAAACTCTGTACAATAGTTACACGTTTGTACGAAGACCTCGCCGAATGCAAACTTGCTATCTTTAGCCTGCGTAGCAACTTTTTTCTCAAACATGAAGGTGATACGAAGTAATCAATTGTCTTTAACGTGGTCATTCAGTACGACGGTTTATAAGCCTTTCCAATTCAGCTTCAGCTTTTGTCAGGAGTGGAAACGCAATGCAACACCATAGGCCCTAAAGATGTTGCTGAGGTGAATGTATAGGACCGTAATCACGATATCAAGCTTGTATTATGCAATTCATTGATGAATGCGCAAAGAAAGACCCGATCTGATCTATAGACAGAAATGACAAAATCTGGTCAGGAGATAGCAGCCTACTGAGAACGCAGCCTAAGAGCTAAAGATAACAAAAGAGTCTGTTCTTGTATTTTATTATGGACAGAAACAACCACACCGACAAGCCTACATACACGACGACACACGATAGTCATGTTAATGCGCACAGATGTGGCGCCGCAGCAGAAATGTAAATTAGTATATATATATATACATATATATATATATATATATATATATACTATATTGACCACGTGTGAAATAAAACGTAAAAAACTGTGCGCTGAAAAGTAACGGACAGGTGGCTACGAATTCATTCACACAGAGATGAAAATATGCTATCATATGCGGTCGCTAGATATATAGTTCTATCATAGTTGATCACGATGAGATCCATGTGTATGTCGAATGTGTATATATATACACCCATCAGTCATCATAAACTACAGAATAAGTTGAGGAAATCAGAAGAAAAAAAGACCGATAACGCTGATATAGAGATATCCCATGAATTACGTATTGTACAAGAGTGATATATAAATGGATGAATGAATCCGCGAGTGATTAGAGTCGAACCCTGCGTTTCGCCTCTTTCTAGACTCTCCTTCAAACGGCTGTGAAAAAAAGTGATGTGTGTAACTAAGGGCTTTTATGTAGCAAAACAAATGTGGAGAAAACTACATCTGTATTACAACTATTTCATGCTAACAAACTGTAATGACATTCGGGACAAAAAACAGTGGACATATTTAATACCATTTAGCAAGAGAATAAATATCAAAGAATTCATAGGCTGGCTGGCGTAGTCCAATACTTCGAAACCTACCAT